TTAAAGATTTGCTTAAAGCTAACATTAAAAACTATGGCATAGACACTGGGAAATGGAAAGCCCTGGCCCTTGAGCACTCTAACTGGAGAACTGGAGGTCAGCTGTGACCAGCAATGCTACAGAATTCGAAGAGGCTCGAATGGAAAGTGAAAGGGAGAAATGTGCCAAGAGCAAGGCATGTCAAGCCAACCCTGACCAGGACTGCCTTCAATCTGGAAATCGATGTCCTCAGTGTAGAAGAACACGTGTGTCAAGAATGGGGCTCCACAGTCACCTATGTATCCACCGCAAAGACACTACACTTGGAAGGCCATCATACTCGGACAATGAGAGATCACCTAAGTTAACTAGATTATTGGGAGATTATTGGAGTTAAAAGTTTAACCCTGGGACCCTCTGGCTGAAACCGTCCCCTTTTGGGACATTCATCCCTTTAAAACAAAGTCTCCCCAGTGGGTTAATCCACCTGTTTGTTTTCGCGGGTAGCAGAAGACAAGGTGGTGAGAGGGTGGCCCTTTCGTCCAGCTTTGGAGGAAGATCAGAGCTCATTAAAAGTGCCACTCACTAAAAGATTAGACAAGGGGGATTTCTTAACTAGGAGGCAGGACATTTGAGGGTGGATGGTTCAACTCATTTGGGGCCCTTGGAAATTGAGGGCCACAACCCCCCAGTTTTGGGATTTCTTGGTGACTGAGATGTTGCAGCCGGCAAATTACAGGGATCCTATGAACCAGGCCCCCGGGTCCCACCTTCGCCTGCGATTGTTGTCCTGCTTTTCTATCCTTTCCACCCCCAGGTGGAAACAGCAGTACAAGGCAGCCACTGAATGTGGCAGCCACTGAATGTGGAAACCACTACACAGTTACACCATAATAAGGTGTAGCCACAAAGAACAATTCTGCATTTAGTGCTTTAAATAAGCCCCAAAACGGCAGACCTTAATGCTCTCTCTTTGCTTTGCACTGGCCATTATTATTATTTATTATTTCAAATATTTTTACCCCGCCCTCCTCAACCCCCGGGGGGGGGGGAGGGGGATGCAGGGTGGCTTACAGCTGGCAACGATTCGATGCCCCTATATACACATAAAACACTAGAGCACCTCTACTAGAATTAGCTGCTTCAACTAATGTAACTATATGCATGGTTAGAAACAGGTTTTAATGATCCCAGAGCAAGAATGTACTACTTTTATGAAGCTTAGGAGCATATATAATGGCGGCTTGAAAACCTCAGAGCTCTATCTTTTTCCCAACCATGAGCTAGAAACAGCGGTAAAGAGCAATCTGGATAAGACAGAAAAATTGAGCAAGGGCTAGGAATGAGGAGGGTTAGATTAAGATATAAATTAATTAAAAATATATCATTGTAATTATTATATTATTGAACAACAGTGACACTTGGTTTGCTTGCTTGAGCACAAACAAAACATTTTAACAGGGAAATCTCCTATTTTCTGTTTTGTGCTTGAACAAATATTGAGCTGTAGAAAATCCATTCGGATTAGCATTTTGACTTAAATCTGAACTATTTTCAATTTGGCTTTTGATTTATCATCTTGGAGCTAAACTGCTGTGAGAAATTTGGAATAAGCCCAATTCTATTTTGCTTTAGCATTCCTTGCATAGCTAGCCACCATTTGCTTTTAATTACCGCTCAGTATGTCCCTATAAGTGGTATGAACGTGGCTTCTATACTCAATTTTTTCAACTTTATCAACTTAGAAAGCAACAAGCTTTTCTCTTCTTCATAAAAGTCTAACGTTATAACCATGTTTTATATTTTAGAATAATACCAAAGAGGAAATGAAACAAGCTTTCCAGGCAGATTCTGTGCAATACACCTGATTCACTTCAGAGGTGATTTCCTCACCCAGCTTACTGTGTGACCATAAAAGCTTTAAAAAAACAACTTGATTTAATGTTTCTGTTTATGTAAGGTGTCCAGTTTCCAGAAGTATCTCGTACTGGTGTTTTTAAACTCAATTAAGAAATTAAGCTCATTTTCAGCTGTGTGCCTAGGGACCAACAATTAAAAAAAGAGAGAATTTCAAAGGAGTAAGTTCATAACTATGTAAAAAACCCTTGTGTGGTCTCAAATCCATAATGTACTAGAACTGTATAACTTGTAATACGTTAATATAAGGGGTCAAACTAAACATGATGTTTGATTACGTGAAGGTTTTTCACATGCTGCTGTTGTTTGGCACAAAGCACTTCAGCAAATGTGTTGTCGAAGGCTTTCATGGCCGGAATGACTGGGTTGCTGTAAGTTTTTTGGGCTGTATGGCCATGTTCCAGAAGCATTCTCTCCTGAGGTTTTGCCTGAATCTATGGCAGGCATCCTCAGAGGTTGTGATGCAGGTGAACATGGCCATACAGCCCAAAAAATTTACAGCAACCCACTTTAGGGAAGTTTTGACATGAAATAAAGGTTTGCAACAGAGGACACTGTAGAAAATGGCAGTACACACAGATACCTTTATTTTAACAGTCATTTATGAAAAAACTGTCTTGGGCTCTGTGGAACTGATGTCCAGAACCGAAAGCTTGGGCCTGATACCACTTGGGCCTCCTATGCTTGTTTCATGTTATATAGCAATTATCTTACTTGTGGGACCATTTTTCCTTTCAATTATCATTTGGAGGAAGATTCAAGTGCTGTTCAAAATTTGTCTTTGAAAGAATTGTAAGAATATGAGTCCAATTCACTCAATGAAACTAATTCCTATTTTAAGTTCTATGTGATGAACTTTTTTTTCATGTCAAGAGCGACTTGAGAAACTGCAAATCACTTCTGGTGTGAGAGAATTGGCCGTCTGCAAGGACGTTGCCCAGGGGATATCTGGATGTTTTGATGTTTTACCATCCTTGTGGGTGTCTTCTTTCATGTCCCCGCATGGGGAGCAGGAACTGACAAAGAGAGCTCATCCGTGCTCTCTCCGGCCTGTTGGTCTTCAGTCCTGCCAGCACAAGGGTTTAACCCACTGCGCCACTGGGGACTCCTATGTGATGAACTGAGACAGGGTCTTCTATAGCTTGCTGGTCTAATAGCTTCGACTCAAAATCAAACAGTATCATTTCATCTCAGCTAACACAGAACTGGGGTTTAAATAGGCGAAGTAAAATTTATATACAGCTTCTTTCATTCTGAACACTGAAGTTGACATTTTGAAATTGGCAGCTGCAGGGCCATTCCACTAGCTCTTTAGAAAGGCCACCTCCACCCCATATCTTTCTGTTCTTCAAATTTCCAGTCAAGCATGATAACTTTTGTAGCTTTAAGAACAGATGCCTGAAGACCCTTGCCTCCCCCCGTATTTTATGCATTATATAGTGTACACCCGAGGAAGGGACTGTCCTGTTTGATTTATATAACATCAATAACATTGTGGAAACTTGTGGGAACCTTTGACATTAACTGAAGGAAAGAAGTTGGCAGCATAAGTTTTTGTAGACTTCATTCTGCTTCATTAGATGCACACAGTAAAGTGCCCAGCCTGTGGTTGTGGTAGCAATACACATACACACACACACACACCACCACCACCACCACCACAACAACAACAATAATTAGATTCTTGAAAAATCCCAAGTTTTTGACAAGTGTTAAAAAGCAATGGATCACCAGTGGTCCTCAACCTGTGGGTCCCCAGATGTTTTGGCCTTTAACTCCCAGAAATCCTAACAGCTGGTAAACTGGCTTGGATATCAGAGTTATAGGCCAAAAAGAAACCCACAGGTTGAGACCCATTGGATTAGACAAAGTTTTATTTGGTATTCATTTTTGAAAGATTTTAATTAGCAATTGGATGTCACACAATTCCTTGACCTTAAAGTGTTCCTACCTGACCTGTAGATATACAAGATTTAACTTCTAATGAAATCTAAAATTAAAGAAATACAGCATCTGAGGAGGCTGGCTGGTCAACTATAATAGTTGAGGCCTTCAAAAAAAAAAAAGGGCTATCCTTTCCTGTCACTATAAGGAACATTTAAAATTGTAGACACCACTGGAGATCCCATAATTAGGCCAGACATGGGCAAATTGCAGCCTGCAGGACCTGTGTTGTCGCCGCACCCACCCTGCCGAACCAATTCATTTTCATTTTATTTATCTACTTTATAGGTATCCTACCTTTCTTTCAATACAGGGACTCAAAAATGTTTTTATTTCATAAAATGACAAATTTCAAACCACAGACACAATATTCCCTGTAAGTATAATTAGGTTGGGCATTTGAAGTTTCTAAAGGAGAACTACGACCCACAATCCTGAAAGCAGAATTATGTTTAGAGAGCTAATTGTGTTCCTAAAAATGGTGGAGGAATAGCAAGCTGTGAAGATTCTGCCTTGGATCCCACCCCAGCAGAAAGAGAGGAAATACATTCAGAAAATAAAGATTTGACCCTCAGAAGCTGTTCATCCGTATCTTCACAGTCTGCCATTCCTTCACCATGTAACAAGCAACTCACTTCCACAATTGCAAAAAAAAATAAAAAATAAAAAAAATAAAAAAAGGTTTGCTATGTCATTATGTCTAATTCAGCTATTAACAAGAACAACATTTAGTTTGTCACTACAAGCTTGGAAAAATTTGTAGGCAAATATGCAGAAAAGCAAGGGACATAAGAGAAGCAAAATCTATGAAGATCTAGCTATGTGCTGGTAAGATTGTGAGGAGACCAATGGGAACTATAGGAGAAAGTATGGAAGATGAGATAGTGGATGAATAGAAGGAATACAGAAGCAACAAGTAAACAGGGAGTTGGATGGAATGGCCCATGAGGTCTCTTTCAACTCTAGGATTCTATGACTCTATTTGGATGTTGAATTAAAAGCTGCAAGGGATTTAGAAAAATCTATTTTTAAGCATGTTTTGGTTTTGGCCATGTTAAGTTGTTTGCCTGACACTCCTTGGCTCACATACATCAAATATTTCCTGTAAGAAAAGTTGCTCTCTTTACCTGCCTTGAAAACCAAACAAAATATGCACATACCTTGGCATTTTGCAGAGGAGGTTGGTAACTCGACGGCCGATAATACATCCTTTGAGTGGGGTCAGTGTGGATGTCTCCAAGAAATAGCTCCTCTACTAAGTGGTCTAAATTATGGTGAAGGTATTGTTTCTCCACACGGATGAGTTGAAGTTCATGCATAGCGAAATTCAGTGCTTTGGTGCATTCATAACCATTCTCTTCTCTCCAAAGATCATAGCTCACATTCTGCTCCCAGGGTTTGCCTTCTGATACAAATCCAGGGCATGTACGATTCACCAGCTCACTTAATCTTTCAGCTACCGCCTCACTGTGGCAGATTATCTGTATATTATGTAGCTGGTAATCAGCTTCAGTCCCTCCTCGAATGATCCAGGATGCTTGGCGAAGGCGGACTTTACCACGGAGAACTAAGGTATAGGTTGGGTTTGTGCAGTGATTACCTCCATAGTAAAACTGATAGGCCTTGAATGTATTATTATGGTAGAATCTGTAGGATCTTGTGATGAATTCTGGGCCTGACCTAACTTCACAACTGTAACAAATTGGAAAAAGAAAAAAAAAGAAAGTTAGTAAAATGGTTAATCATAACTATCAGAGCCAATGTGGCCACTATTACCACACATTATGAGTATCTTTATTTTTCAGAATTTGGAGGAGTTACTTTTATAATTTCCAGAATTCTCAAAGATAGGTCATGCTGATGGGGGGGAATTAGGAGCCCCCGGTGGGCGCAATGGGTTAAACTCTTTTGCCGGCAGGATTGAAGACCGACAGGTTGCAGGTTCGAATCTGGGGAGAGTGTAGATGAGCTCCCTCTGTCAGCTCCGGCTCTCCATGTGGGGACATGAGCGAAGCCTCCTACAGGATGATAAAACATCAAAACATCCGGGCGTCCCCTGGGCAACGTCCTTGCAGACAGCCAATTCTCTCACACCAGAAGTGACTTGCAGTTTCTCAAATCACTCCTGACACACACACACACACACACACACACACACACACACAAAAATAGGGGGAATTGGAGAATGTAGTAAAAAATAAGCTTTTCCAAACACTGTTTTTTGCAGTATTTTCAAATAGTGTAACTTTTTTTTATTCTCAAGAAAAAGAGGTGTAACTTGGAAATATAATATCATCTGATAAAACCTAACTTGAAATCTTAGGCAATCATTGGGCAGACTTCAACTTCACACCAGTCTTTTTTCTTCTTCAGTCTGATCCCCAACTATTTCATGGCATCTGTTCTTTGTAAGATCTTGCCTAATAAAAAGGTCTGGAAAGCTTGAAAGCTTGCCAGTTTCTTGTGGATTCTGAATTGACCTAATGAAGATGTTGTTAAAATGGGTTTTAGATTTATTCTTTTGGTAAAGGCTACTACTTCTACATTTTATGTAATCAGAGCATTGGCACTTTCATATTCTCCTTGTATTTAATAATATGTTCTAAAAGTATATTTTGAAAATAGAGCTGCTCAAATTACCTTTTATTTAGCATCTCTTTAAACGCATGCTGTACTTTGTTTTTTGGATTTATTATTATTTTATTCAAATAAATGATTAGCGAAATGAGAAAGAAAGACGAGGATACTCTGATTGTGATTTTCCTGCATGGCAGGGGGTTAGACTAGATGGTCTCTTCCAACTCTTGTTATTCTATGATTCTATGTGTAAACCAAATAAAAAGAACATGTTGATGACTACGTCTTTTCTATACAATATTTTATTTAGAATCTATTTTATTCTAAGTATTTTAAAGGCAGACCGATATTTAATTATACCCTTTTCAATTTATTTTTTTATCTTTCATGTGGATAGCCCTACAAATCACTGATTGCTTTTCAAAGATAGCATACGTTTATTGAAAGAACACTTTTAGCCTATATTTCCAAAGACCAGTTCCCTGTCTCTCAAAATTGTATTGTCATAAATTTACTATAATCTCAATAGGTTTTTAAATGACTTGTTCTTTAATTTTATTTCTGTCAAATAGAATTTCTTAAACTAACCTTTCAAGGCAATTTCTTTTGTAGAATCATAAAATGTTTGAACATACATGTTTCTCTTCTGTCATGCAGAACAATAATTACGCATGTGCCCCCCCCCATAATTTCTTTAAGTCCAAAATATACCAGTATCCCTAGGTGATATGAGTCAGTTTTGCCAAGTTTTCCAGATTCCATACCATTTTCGAACTTCTAGTCACTATCTACCTACCTACCTATCTAGCTATAAAATTTATTTTGTGTCAAAAGCATTGAATAAATAAACAAGTATAAAACTGATAAAGTGGATAAAATGGAGGGAACACAAGCGGCTTAGTCATTTTAGAGTAAAAACAGGCAACAGCGACCACATTGTCTGTAGCTTTAAGCAGTTCTTCCTCTGTGCATGAGGCAGGGCATTGTGGACAAGCATACAGATGCTGAGTTGTTTGTTCTGTTCCACAGTCGCACAAGGTGGAGGATTATTCTAGGCCAGTGGTTCTTAACCTATGGGTCCCCAGGTGTTTTGTCCTACAACTCCCAGAAATCCCAACCAGTTTACCAGCTGTTAGAATTTCTGGGAGTTGAAGGCCAAAACATCTGGGGACCCACAGGTTGAGAACCACTGTTCTAGATAGTGCCATTTTGCCAGGTTGTCCTTTGATCTCCCAACACCACTTCTAGATCTGTTTAGGGACTTCCAAGTTGCCCATTCTTGGTTTGCCCCTGGAGGCAGACCCGCGTGGGGGGCATCCATTTGGGATTTCCTGGTTTAGCTGCCCTGGGGGTTACTCTTGATGTTGCTGGGGGAACATTAAGAGGAGTGGTGGTTCTCGTGAAATCTTAACTTTGATTTGAGTCTACTGGGAGGAGGCTGATAGTCATGCAGTGGATGGCTTTCACAGTGTTCAACTTCTGGTTGCACATTAAAGGGGGCGGGGGGCAACGCCAGCTACCTTATAAAGTCTATCAACAGCAGGTATAGGTTTGAGACATCCAGTGATCATCCCACATGTTTCATTCAGTGATATATTCACCTGCTTTGTATAGGCAGACTTGTGCCAAACAGGGCAGGCATACTGAGCGGTTGAGTAAAACAAGGCCAGTGCTGATGTTCTTATTAAGTTTGGGTCTTCACTCCATGCACTACCAGTAAGTTTCTGCAGGATGTTATTACATGTAGCTACTTTGTGCTTGATGTTCATTCCAACCCAAAAAGCACTGCTTTACAACATACATGTCACATAATATAACATAAAGCCAAGAATTTATTCACTAGCTTTTCTAAGCGGGTATATAAAATGTAACACATGATGGTTATTGAAAAGAGAAGAGAAAAGTGCTTGGAGGGTGTTAAAAGGGTTGTCAATTGGATTATAAACTACAGAAAAAAGTAATATAAAAAGCCTCTTTACAGCATGCTTTTAAAATTTTGGCTCTTGAATTTTAATGTTAACTGAATTATTTTAGTTTTTTAGACTCTCATTCATCAACATCCTTACCCAGTGGAAACCCAATGTCCTTCGATCATAGGAGGCATTTGTACAGTGATCCGTGCTCCATTGTGAAGATGTTTTAACATATGATGACACTGTGATTCCTTGAAAGTCCGCCATGCATTCTTCTCTAGTGATCGAGGGTGAAACCTGCTCTCTGGATGAAGAAGTGCAGAGCCTTCTCCCAGCCCTGGGATGTCAAAGACAAAATATGAATGTCCTGATGAGTTTGGACAATTAAGCACATGTATAAAAGACCAGTGTCATGACACTCTTCTGTATTGATTTTGCATGCCTGACATATTCTGTATTAACTATATTTTACCATATAAAAAGTTGCAGAAGCTGGAAAGCCTGTAAGGATATTTACACACTACAAAAATCCATGCATTCTCTCATATGTGTGCAACTACATATACTTTTGTTCATGCTAAAAAATGGAAATACCATATACACTTCAGTGTCAACGGATTCTATGAGGAATTACAGTATTAGTACAGCTACAGAATAATCCTAAGCATTTTTACTCAAACATAAAGCCCCAGAGAATCCAATGTTTTTACTCCCTGTCATGTATTCCCAGGATTGTAACCTTAACAATTTCAGAATGATTCACTATAAATATTTATTATTTTTAAGCTTTCTGGTGAGCTTGAACTCATTCTAAGCTTTATACTTTCTGAATTTCCTCCTTCAAGTACTGGCTATTCAATAGTATTCTTTTTTGATTATTTCCTCCTCCTTCTTTTTCATATAAATCTCTTTTAAATCTCAGTTCACATGAATATTCTTTGCACGCCCACCCTGTTTACTTTATACACCTCCGATTTTTCTTCCTCATTGGAATTCACTGTATGTTTCTTGCATTTCTCACCTTTAAGAAACTCCCATGCATAATGAACTGCATTCCTGCGTTGTTGTAAGTTTTTTGGCTGCATGGCCATGTTCACCTGCATCACAACCTCTGAGGATGCCTGTGATAGGTGCAGGCGAAACATCAGGTGGGAATGCTTCTGGAACATGGCCATACAGCCCAAAAAACTTACAACAACCCAGTGATTACGGCCATGAAAGCCTTTGACAATACATTGAACCCCATTCCCTTTGGGCAATTCTGACCATGAGATCTCACCTACTATTTTCTCAAAGGTCCTGAAATCAGCTGTTTCAAAATCAAAAATGTATTTATTCTTGAAACTTGCTCTAGATTGCATGTATACATATAGTTGCTCATTCTACAGCATTAAACATTTCCCCATCTCAAACACTTAATAGCTCAAGTTAAGCATTTGCATAGTTCAGTGGATAAAGATTTAAACTGAGATCTAAGTTCAGATTGCCCAATCCAGCCATCAACACTTTGCTAGACATTAGCAAATTGTTATACTTCACTCTGTGTTTTCCTTGTATAAAATGAGAACAGTTGCAATTTGTGACAGTATAAAAAACCTGAAGTGCATCCATCTTTTGCAGTTCTGTGCTCTTTAAAACATATTGCACCTCCTTTTGAGATCCTTGCCAACAGAAGTGCCCCTAGTGTCTGATTTTGAAGTAGGTCAGATTTTGTTTTCTTTCTGCTGTCATCAACTACCATCCCTTTGTGCTTTCCCCTAAAACTCAAAAACATCCTTTGAAAATCCAGGTCTGCTCGTTTCTATATAGCTATAAGCCTTCATTTGCAGCCAACATTTCTGTTTCTGGTTAGAATGTGAGACAAATCTTAGAAATAGATCATACGAATCTACCTGTGTTTTCAATTTCTGAGCAGTACTGCCTAAATCATTATTGTATGGGCAATAACTGTAGATATTAACACACCTCCATGCTTTCCTGCATATTAACAAATACCAGCATCTATTAAAATACTGTGTTCTTCCTCCTAACTCAGTATTTCTAATAACATGCCGGGAAAATCCAGAATGAATTTTAATTTAGATAGTATGTAACAGAAATGAAATATCTCAATCCAAACCCGAGGTACAGAATTGCCACGTAACAATTCCCACATTGTTGGAAATTTAATTTGTCCTAAACACACTAGAGCAGGCATGGGCAAACTTCGGCCCTCCAGGTGTTTTGGACTTAATCTCCCACAATTCCAGCCGGAAGGAATTAGAAATTAGAAAAATCTAGCCGGTAGGAATTAGAAATTAGAAAAATCTAGTATAATGTACTACTATGTAAAAATACATAGGACCACACTGTAAACCTGTTATTCAGTAAATCAAGGCTGGATTTACACTGCCAAATAATGCAGTCTGAACTACACTGACGATATAATGCAGATTCAAACTACATTGTATGGCACTGTAGATCCAGTCTAAATCTTGCTCAGTTTGGATCTATGCTTCAGTAACCTGAATTCATGTAGAAACGAGGTTCAATTTATGAAAATACACTCTGTTATAAAAACATTAATGTGAGGATTTTTCTTTTCTAATAGACTTTTCAAGTAGAAACTTGTTTAACCTTTAAATACATAATTTACTTAAAGAAAATGGCTTTGTTTATTTAGTCAGTAGACCTAAATAATTAGGAAACTATGCACTAGTCTTATCTTTAGATGTAGTAAATTGCTAAATAACCTTTCCACAAAGTATCCTAATCACGATGTGAAAGGTATACAATTACAATGAAGAATACTATGTCTCTCTGCAAAGCAGATGTTTCTGTTTTTAGCTCTAGTTTGGTCACTCTGAACATCAAAAGCAGTAAAATCTTCCAGCTCTGGCCTGTAAATTGGACAGGAAGAGATGGAAGACAGCAGAACATTGAAGGCACTGTAAAAGGTAACAGGCTTATTTAGCTTAAAGTGTTAGTGCCTATTGCTAAAACTGGAGGTTGCAATGCAGAGCTCTGGAATGCATTAGAAAAACCTGTGGGACAAGGAAAAAAATATTAAAGTGTGGCGACCCTAGTCGGACACATGGGTCTCTGGCACATGAATCAGTAGGCGTTTGGGCCCTCTGTCAGTCTCTTATTGACCCTTCTTTTCATTTTCCTATTGGAGCAGAATGTAAGGAGTATTTACAAATTTTCTAACCCAAATAAGAATTGTGATCTCAGCATGTCCACATCTTGTCACAAAAATTAACCGCAGTGAGGTTTTTGATCCACAGTAACAGTGAAAAGACAAATATTTGTTATCTATGTTGTCTATCTTGTCATTGTATAACCAGCATTGGATGTTTGCTGTATTTGTGTTCTGTGATCTGCGTTAAGTCCCCTTTGGGGTGAGAAGGACAGAATATAAATATGTATTTACATATTTATATTCTGTCCTTCTCACCCCAAAGGGGACTTATAAATAAATCACATTTTCATGTTAGACTTTTGTATGCTTTAACTATGATATATTGCAGCCTTTTCAATTTGTCAGTAATCTTGAGTCACAATGGTGGAATTTATATAAAATTCACCTTCATTACTGGTGTTTCTGGGTAAAAGTTAAGGCCCTTTCCCTTCTTTTCCAAATGAAATAGAGGGGAAAAGCTCTATAATTTCCTCCATTTTAGGTGGAATAATTTTTACATCTGCCTTGCTATTGATATAGACATAAACCCTGTGCTTGTTTTTATGCTTGGATTGCTGTTATTAGTCCCATTCAGCATTATCTTCTTTGTTTGTTTTATTTATACCCTGCCTTTCTCCCAATATGGGACCCATCGATAGTTATTAATATCTGAATCACATATTTATATCAATAAGAGGTCATTAAAGTAAGCAGCTGACTTTCAAAAAGTTAAATGAAGAATTCCTCTTCTATTGCAATCTGAATGAACTCCACCAAAAATACTTTAATTTTGTTTTTTTAATCTTAAATTATAAAATTTATGTACTTTAACACATGGGCCCTGATATAACATCCTATGTTATGTGAGAAATAATTTGATGTAATTTAACAAAAAGGCAAATGAGCCATATCAAGTATTGTACTTCCAGGTTTCACAGGATAACTTAACAGATAAATTGAAGGATATAAATAGTTACTTTGAAACTCAAAAGGAATAAGGTTTTAGAGCTTGATTCAATGTGATTTTCATTTCTAAAATGAATAAATACTGGAAATAATAATTACAACCTAAATATTGCTTCATTATTAGCATTCTTTTGGGGGAAATAAATTGCCCAAAAAATCTTTGTTCAGGACTGGATAAATGCAGTATGAAAATGCAATATGGCGATAAATCATAAAACAACCTGCCTTAATAATGTGCATAACTCACTGATATTCCAGGCTACAAAGATAGTAGGAGTTATATGAGAAAAAAAGCAATTACCATAACCTCAAATATTTCATGAACCTCAAGTACTCAGTAATGCTGTAGCAAGCGAAATCTGAAGGAATGAAACAAACAATAAGAAATGTGCATTTATTTCACACACATAAAAACTGATTATATGGAAAAGTTATATGTTTGGTTTGTTTTACAATCTCTGGACTTTAGATACATTACTGAAATGATTTTGAATTTGAGTCCTATCCTGGGAGACACATTAATTAAAAAAATCTTATTAAAAGTTTCTGAAGGTGAATGATTTAGTACATGACATCTCAAACTTTTGTGGAATCTGGTATAAGCAGAGAAAACCAGGACAATGGATAGGTTCCAGCTTTGACATTAAACAAGTTTTATTCTGACTTATGATTCCAAGAAGTTTTCTATGTTAGTGAGATATATTTAAATACAGAATAAAAATAAATAAGAATCTTGGCTGAATTGCTTTTCCTCCCTTTTTAAATATCCAACAGGTAAGCAAACTAAACCACTTCAAAAAGGTATGCTAGAATTTGAATGCGTGTTTATGCAAATATTTATAATATATTCCTAGATTGGAAAATGTTGCCCAGCTGGCTGGAACACAGCTATATGACCTAAATATCTTGAAAGCTCTTCCTTTTAATTATTGTTTGGCTAGCTGTTGATCAATATTGGTAGGTGGTTAAGGGATTAGAGTGGTAGCTGTGATGTCAGTTCTCAACAGTGCTGTCCAAAAGGCAAATTTCATTTCGGTTTGCCTTCATAGAAGCAATATATAATCAAACACTGAGAAGCCACAATGCTTCTCTGACAGCATTGCTGGAGGACTTTATGCCCGTTTCTGAGTGTTCCTTTTGACAGATGTCCCAGATACTCGTAAAATAAAAGAAAACCGAGAAAGAAGTGTAGAGGACACATTAGGGAAGGA